AGACTTTGTCTTACACACTTTGGACATATTGTTGGGAGCGACCAGTCCCTGTCTGTGTTAGACAGGGTTCTCTAGAGAGATAAAACCATATTCCTGATAATATAATATATTTATTTATAAAGATAATTAGATATATAACGAGAAATGAAATGTTAAATCATATACAGATAAATATACGATACAAGAAATAAACAGTTAAATTAGAAGCACTATAAATGGCTTAGTGCAACTCACGTCGTCGTGAGAGAAAGTTGAGAGACTAGCAGTCCTTCAAGTCTCTATCTGATGCCAGATCTTCCTCTATTTGTAGAGAGAGCTAGGCTATGTCAGCACAGCAACCAATCACAAGGCAGGTCACCAATCGCCAGTCCCCAGCTCCAGAGAAGTCTTAAAGGGACCTCAACTCACAGCAACACAGTCCACAGGCTGTGTAGCCTTTAAATTGAAGCATAGAACAAGCAAGGCAGCCGCACACTGGTCCGATGATCACAGAGCGAGAGACAAGAAAGGCAAGGCTCACCAAGCCATCCATCTCTCTGCCCCTCAGTCAATCCCACGTGCGTTTATCAGCCAGGCTGGCACAATAAACTATCTCACTGTCGAAGGACATCATGCATGGTGAAGTGGAGGGGCAGCAGCAAAGAAGAGGGGGGCCTTGAATGAGATCGATGGACATTGTGGGTTCAATTGGGCTCAGGTATCGGAACCATTGCAGCGATGGCGCCGGACTGTGTGGTGTGTCTTTCTGTTGGCACAGGGTCACAATAGGTCAGAACTAGCTCCATGGCACCGAACAACAAGAACAACGGCATCGGAGATCACAGGATGATCTGAGAGAGACCATTAGACATGTTTAAAATGATTGAAGGGACAAAAGGAGTCATAATGGAGGAATCCGATAGCATGAAAAGAAGCCGAGTTCAGTTTGACATGGCGGCGCAGGGAAGCATGTCTGCTTCCAAGGGACTCATTGTTTCCTTGGGAGGCAGTCAGGGAAACAAATAATGATGACGCAGACTTAGGGAAGGACGTTTCAGAGATGAGGCTCCAAACTTGCTCTTCTTAGAGGAGGGGACATTTCCACTAAACTATGTATTACACACACACACAAGCTATTAGCTGGACTGACTTGATGACAGTTATGTGTGTGTTTATAACTTTTGTTCACTGAGATGGAGTGGGGCAAGCAGGGTGGAGTGAACTGCGTGAATTTAACAGAGAAGCTAGAGAGTGGGTGGAGGAAGACTCAAGGAGGATGCTTGCTAGGTTCTTGAGCATGAATACTGGGTGAATGGTGCCACCATCTTTGGACCAGCAACGAACAGAGAACAAGGTCTAGTACATCCCTCATCCATGTGTGCTGGCAGAAGGTAGAAATGGTCTTAAGTGGGATGCAGAGTTTCCATAACAATGACATTGCGTTCTTCCGCTTTGGGTTTCCAATCTACCTACAAGTGCAACCTACCATTTCTTACTGCCTCCACCTGCCATGGCCTACCCATTTGTGGCCTGCTAGGCCATAGTCTAGAAGTTTCCATTCCTAGTCCCCATAGAAGAAGCATTTGCCTCCATTCTCCTCTAAAGAGTACACACTGCGCCCTTCCCCACCCTCTCTAGACACTAACATCATGATTGCTGATAGCACTGCTATAATTTTTCATTAATTTTCCTGGTGTGTTTTACAGTTAGTATAACATTAAAATTTATAATCAAAGTATTATTACAATTTTCCACTACTAATGGAATTATTATTTTTGTTCATTTGTGTTGGAAATCTATTAGCATAAATTTTACTTCCAACAATATCCTTTGTGAGTTTCAATGCCCTTGAAACTTGCAGTGAATGATAAGTCTATCATAAGAGAGTGCTAGTAAGCATATAGACATCTTTCTGGAGGGAAAAAGGGCTTTTTATTTTCATCGTGGTTGGACTTGAGTTCTTTGATAGAATGATTGGTAGGATATAAGGTATTAAAGGCTGAGAACACAGTGTTAGCTCGTCGCTGTGTTCAAACACATTCCCCAGTTATTGAGAGGACACCTTTATATTCTGGGAGGATGCATACTCTTGTTCCTTTCATGGTGCTTCTTACCTGACTTACGGAAAAAAAGTATAATGAATTATGTGCTTGCAGGGGACAAACTAGGAATTGTTTGGAAGTGAAGGGATCTGGCATCTTTCTGTTGAATGGATTTTCCAAGGAGTGGGGGATTTTGAAGCATGACATGATTCCAGAAGGCTGATGCAGAGGCTAGCAAGCGATGATGCTAGAATGCCCAATAAGCAAGGTAAGCATGGGTTCACTTGTGCTTATTTACTAATATATACTGCACAATTCCATGCTTCTTCACCACATCCAAGATTCTGTTTCCTGATATGGCTGGTATCTGTCTCTTCCTCAAGCCCACAGGACCTTCCTATTGAATCAAAGTCTCTTTTCAAATTTCTAATCCTGGACAGGACTGGAGCACCTGGTAAGCAAGGTAAGCAAGACCTTAGACCCAGGTGGAAATTGTTCACTACAGATGTATCAGTTGGCATAAAGAAGGCCAGGCTTAACTTGCTCTCATGACACCCACATGACATGGGTCACTGCAGAATGGTAAGTACAAGCAGGCCCATGCTCACCTCACTTATTGGGTAGGTCTGCCGTTGCTAGTGAGAAAAGTCTCTTTGTGGGGCAGTGGAGCTATATGGGCAAGGCTGACTTCACAAGTTTGTGACTTGGCTAATCAGCCGGGCCTGGGGCTCAGCTTGATTTGTGTGCTGCGGTCACCGTCCTGGAATTCTTGATATGTCTTAAACAAGGGGTCTCTCACATTTTGATTTTTCATTGGGCCTTCCAAATTAGGTCGCTGGACCTTTGTACAGGCGGTGGAGCCAGAAAGGCTTATGTTCAGATCCTACATATGGTGTTCTCTTACGACGACTGTGCCTCAGTTTCCTTGTTTGTAAAATGAGGATAATAGTATCTCTCTCTCTGGCCAGCTGTGAGGGCACTTTGGAAGGTACTGAGGGAGGCGGAGGCTTGCATAATGTCCATACGCAGTGCCAGCAGGAAGCTTATTCTGGTGGCTGTAAGTCAGGAAGACTGGTCAGCGGGAGTAGACAGGCCTTGCCTGGCTGGTACAGAGGATAAGACCAAGAGCCCCCCCCACCCCCAAGTACGGAATGTTTTCCAAGATAGGTATTCTTTAGGCTGGGAGGGTCTCATACATGAAGGGTCACTGCTTTTGTTGCTAGGACACGTGACAGAGGGCATTCACTAGCACAATCGAGTCTCAGGATTTCTCCATAGAAACCTCTCAAGAAAGCCAGCACCTGAAGTGCCTTGGCCTTATTTGTAAACTTTTGTATTTTAACCGTGATTTGGGACAAATGACTTTCACTGCACATCAGATCTTGACAAGCCAATGTGTCAGTGATGTGAATCCCAAGCAAAGGTCCCCCCGTGACAGGTCTGCTAGCATGGGGCCAGCATGGAGACCCTCCGTGGTCTTAAAGAAGGGCACGGTCAAGCTAATGTCTGAATAAACGATGCCAGCTACTACGCACGACAGCCCGTGTCAGAGGAGCGCCAAGCGGTGAGACGGCTAAACTTCTGACGAGTAATATGGGATCTTAGAAGATTTGGTTCAACTCTTTTTCCTCCCTACTCTCCAGAAAAAAATAACAAGAAGTCTTTAGATCAAATTAACCACCAACACCAGCATTTTAGGCTCTGCTCCAAAAAGATTCCTCCAGGGAGTGTCGTCAGAGTCAGGCGACCTTCATTGGCTTCAACTGGGGAGTCGTGCGAGTGCGGAGTCCAGCTGGTAGATTTCAAGGGGAATCACTAAGGCCTTAGCTGGTCCGCCCCCAAGTGGTCTGAGCATGCACACCCTGTGCTGAGGTGGGCAGGTGGAATCCGTTCCTGTGATCACTGAGCCTTTTCGGTCTGGAGGCCCCTGCTTTCCCTCAGGAGGTGAAGGGCCAGAGTACGAAGAGATTGGCAGCGTCTCAGGACCCTGTGTTGTGAAATGGCCACACTCCAAGTAGAGTTTTCTCCCTTTTTTTCCTACCTCCACAGCTCTTGGTGTGCAGCGGGACCCAGCTGCCACTGCGCTGTCTCAGGCGGCGTTAAAAAATAACCCAGAAACCCCACGGCTCTCCAGTTGATGCCAGCTCACAGGACACAGTAGCACTGTGACAGGAGGTTTCTGAGCCTGTCCATCTTTATGGAAGCAGACTGCTTCATCTTTGTCCTGTGTAGCAGCTGGTCGCTTTGAACCACTGACCTTTTGATTAGCTGCCCAATACTTAACCTACTGCTCTACTGGGTATCTTCAGGCTGGGTAGTGACAGTTCAAGGGGATGCTGCCTCACTAGGATTGGGGCCCTTGAAACCCAGGGCCCTTCCAAAATTCTCTTCTCAGCCTCTTTCTAGTGCTGACTGGCTCAGCCTTTTGCTGAAGCATGATGGCATTGGAGGATAAACAAATCAAAGAGCATTAGAGGATCATTTTCCTCTTCTCTCTCTGTGGGATGAATGGGGGCCTAGAGAGTGGGCTGCTGGGCCCCCAGGACACGGAACATAAAACACAGTTCAGTCTACGGTGCTTCTGATAGCTGATATGTCAACATCCTGAAGACACAGAAAAATGTGTCCGTACATGCATTCTTATTTTCAGAGATGGCAGTATTGGCTTAGACAGCTTGAATATCAATCCCTGACCCTTTACCCCAGTGAGAAAAGCCATCATTCCCCGCAGTGACTCTCAGTAGACTAGTGACATGACAACAAGGCATCGCACGGAGGAGAGAGCACAAATGCTTTCAGGAAGATGAACCCCTCGACCTCTGTCTGGTGCTTCAATAGTAAAAACAAAGTCCCTAACTTCAGTAAAGAGACTTAGCTTTCAATGCACTCTTTGCCCAACACATTAAGTTCCTGGGACAGAAACCTAAGGAAGGGTTTCATCCTATTATTTGTTTTTTGGTCAATTCTGTATTTTCTTACCTGTTGTCGAATTTCTTCCTCCATTTTCACCGGGGAACCCAATTCTGCTACTTGCTTGACACCTTCACTGGCGTATCCTCCGTATTCCCACAGCACGTAATTCTTGGAGTGGGATCCACCAATGATTGCAGACCAGTGATTGGCCCGACCTGGGGAAGCCAACCAGGATGCAGTTAACATGTGACTAAAACACGAGTCTCTTAGGTGATACAGAGGAGATGTCATTTAACAAGGATGACACTTTAACCACTGCTTTTGCCTTCTTTTGTGTTAGGATTTGTGCAGAATTTCCCATTCTTAGAAGTAGTAAGCAAGTAAGTATTGGGAAAGTGCAGATGGGGCAATAGAAGATGTGGGGCCAAGACACAGAGATGGCCTAGAGACATGGATTTCATCCGGGACCGTCTCAGGGAGGGGGCAGCTGAGATTGGCAAGGCCGATCAGATTTGTAGAGTGGGAGAGGGAGAAATGGCCATTTTTGGCAGACTCAGAAACATTAAATCAGACTGTGTGTTTGGGGAGGCATAGTTATGCAGCATCGCTGGGTTACACACTGTCCAGGGGAGCACCAGAGAACGATGCTGGGGAGGGAGGGAAGGGCCTGCTTGTGGAGGGCCTTGTTTGTCTGCTTAGGAGATTGGAATGTCATTTGCAGGGGTCTGGACCCCACTGAAGGGTTCTGGTCAGGGGGAAGACATTGATCACATTTGAATTTTAGGTACATCATCAGAATGGACTATTAGTGGGGAGGAAAACCCTAGTGGAGAGCTGGAAAGAGGAACAAGGAACAGAAAATAAAAAGTGGATAAGGGCCTTTAGAAATTCTCAGGAATAAAATAAACATTGTCTTCTCCTGGCTTTCTGTCCCTTCCAGGATCAGGGCAGGTAGATTAGCACAGTTAAAGGACTGGATACATGGAAGTGACCAGTCCACAGTGGTTTGGTGACAAACACACCGGATGGTGACTGTAGTGGTACACAGGAGGGAATTAATGCATACACAAGATCAGGGGGAGAGCAGAAACATATCTGGGTAGGGCCAAGAAAGAACTGGATTCTGGAGTTTTATCAAAGCCTGGGGGGTGGGGGAGATGTGAGCCTTAATGTCAAACATCAGCACCATGCATCATTTATTTCTGCATATTATTTGGATGTGGTGACACTAAAAAGCCCCAAAGCCCCTTCTATCAAATAGACTCAGCTAGGGCTTCTGTGACCGTAACTCTTCACAGGTGCGCATCACGTCATTTTCCTCCTGTGGAGGGGCTGGTGGTCTGAAATGCTGACCTTGCGGTTCGCAGCCCAGCACCTAAACCACAGGGCCAGCAACTCGGGGCTGAGATATTGAAAGTGTTAAAAAAGCAAAGCTGTCACTCTGAGGACCAAGGTCAGGATATTTTCCATCGCCGCATGTGAAAGCTGGACAAGTAAGAAGGAAGATTGGGAAATATTTGATGCATTTGAATTATGAAGAGAGCAGAGAACACTGGATATGCCACAGACTGCCTGGAAAATGGCCAGTTTGAAACCACCAGCTGCTCCTTGGGAGAAAGATGAGGCTTTTCACTCTGCTGTTGGGTCGCTCTGATTGCAATTGACTGATGGCAGGGAGCCAGGGGGACGAACAGATCGGCCTTGGAAGAAGTGCAACTCGAAGGCTCCTGGGAAGGGAGGGTGTTGAGGTTTCATCTCACGTACTTTGGACATGTTGTCAGGAGGGACCAGTTCCCCAGAGAAGGACATCTTATTTGGAACAGAGGAGGGTCAGTGAACAAGAGGAAGACCCTCAAGGAGATCGATCAACACAGTGGCCGCAACAGTGGCGCAAGCCGAGCAATGAGTGGCGAGACAGTGAGGATTGGACAGTGTCTTGTTCGCATGTACAAAGGGTTCCTGTGAGCCAGCACTGGTGTGATGGCACCGAACAGCACCGTCCTCAACAAGCTACATATAGTGATCACAGGGTTAGATCAGTTTTCACAATTCCTCAGTTGGTTTTAGAAAAACTCCAGTTAAAGAACATTTTAACTGAGAAACTTGAGCTAGGTGGGCCCAACTAATATTTGCACCTGGTGACCTAGCGTGGGAACAACTTTCCATCCTGCTTCACCAACTAAGAAAATGATTCTGTAGTGTCTGGGGTCTTAAAGGCTTGTCTTGAAGCAAGCAGCCATGCAAACAAGTGTCAACTAAGTCCACATGGAAGAAGCACACCAGCCTGTGTGATCCAAGGATTGTCAATAATAAAATTCAAATATGAGGGAAGGAACGGTATCAGAGCTTAAACTGTGAACACCCAGTTTGCATGAGGTGACGGATAATAGTGGAAGCCCGAAATTCATTTGCAGGGACCCCACATAAATTAAGCCTCTGGCAAGTCCCCTCTGAACATAGTCCAGAGATGTTAACAGTCTTACTATCAGACAAAGAGCATTGTACGGTAGATTGTGGCAGATGTAGTTCAGGAAGGCCCTCCAGGAGTTGGGTTGACATCATGGCTGCAGCAATGGTCTCCAGCATGATGATGGTGCAGGACCACACTGTGTTCGTTTGGCTGTGCACCGGGTCGCTGTGAGTCGGAATTGATTTGATGGCTCTTAACAGTCAGCACCACAACAGTTACATTAGAATGTAATGTCTAATCAGTTGATTTCCCTTTTGACTAATTTTAAAGTTGCTTCAGGTTTTAAATATTTTCTGCTTTTTGTTTGAGGTTTTTCTGTTTTGTCTAGAGATTGCTGTAGGTTTTTTTTTTTTTTTGCTTGATAGCGTCCTGTTTGTGTTTTGTATGATTTTCTGAATATGAACTCCAGGATAGGTAGATCCACAGAGACAGTAACTGAATTGCTAAGTGCCGAGAGACACGCCAAGGAGAGGATGGGGGACATGGGGACCTAAGAATAATGAGTATGAGAAGAGAAGTTCTGAAATTGATGGTGATGATTCCACAAATCTTAATATGATCTAACAATTGAATTGTATGATATGTGAAATGTATGCCAATAGAAGTACTTCAAAAAAAGAAAAGAAAACGATTCTGAACGAGACCTATTTCTAGGTTACTATGTGATCCTCTCCTCCATGGGCACATTAAGAACAGCGTCTGGGGTCGTAAAGGCTTGAAGACAAACAAGCAGCCGTCTAGCTGAGAAGCATCAAAGCCCACATGGAAGAAGCACACCAGCCTGTCTGACCATGAGGTGTAGAAGGGATCAGTGGGTGCCCCCTTTACTGACATAATCACTGAAGACAAAAGTGTGCATAAGCAAATGTGGTGAAGAGAGCTAATGGTGACTGGCTATCAAAAGATAAACAAGCGGCCATCTAGCTGGGAAGCATCAAAGCCCACATGGAAGAAGCATACCAGCCTGTCTGACCACGAGGTGCAGAAGGGACCAGTTATCAGACATCAAAGAACTAAAAATCAAATCAGTGGGTGCCCACCTTCCTGATACAATCTCTGAAGACAAATGCGTGCATAAGCAAAGATGGTGAAGAAAGTTGATGGTGCCCGGCCATCAAAAGATACAGCATCTGGGGTCTTAAAGGCTTGAAGGTAAACAAGTGGCCAACTGGCTCAGAAGCAACAAAGCACACATGGAAGAAGCACACAAGCCTCTGTGACCACGAGTTGTCGAGGGGATCAGGGATCAAAGAACAAAAAATATCATTGTAAAGGTGGGTGAGTGCAGAGTGGAGACTTAAAGCCCATCGGTAGGCAATTGGACACCCCCTTGCTGAAGGGTTGTGGGGAGGAGATGAGCCAATCAGGGTGCAGGGCAGCAACGATGAAACATATAACTTTCCTCTAGTTCTTAAATGCTTCCCCCCCTCAATATCATGATCCCAATTCTACCTTACAAATCTGGCTAGACCAGAGGATGTACATTGGTACAAATAGCAACTGGAAACACAGGGAATCCAGGACTGATGCCTCCTTCAGGACCAGTGGTGAGAAGGGCGAGGCCTGGAGGGTGAAGGGAATGTGGGGTAGAAAGAGGGAACTGATTACAAGAATCTATGTATTGCCTCCTCCCAGAGGGAGGGACAGCAGAGAAGAGGGCCTGGGGACGTTGGACAGTGTAACTTATGACAAAACTATAAGAAGTTATGAATTATGAAGGGGGGAGGAGGGGGAAAATGAGCAGCTGATATTAGGGGCTAAAGTGGAAGGCAAATGTTTGAGAATGATGAGGGCAACAATTGTACATATGTGCTTGACACAATGGGTGTATATATGGATTATGACAAGAATTGTATGAGCCCCCAATTAAAAAAAAAAAACATTGGCCCAAACCTAGGCTGCAATAGAGGGGAGGTACACTCTGCCTTAGTCCATGACATCACCATGTGAATCTATTCAGTTACTTGGTCATTATTTCCAATACATCAAGGGAAATGCAAGCTCTGGGTTCATCTCTCATCTCTCAAGAGAAGGCAGATGGGAGATTCTTCTGGGTGTTTCTCCAATTCATGTCCTGGGTGGGGCGAGTGTTTTAGTTATCTTCTAACTCAAGAGTGCTGCTTGCTTATGAGGAAAACTGGTCATCAATTATGACCTTTGTACACTTGGCCAAAGGGAGACCAGGCCCAGCCTGGCTGGTTATACCAAAATACCTCCTAGCTCTAGACCCATTCTACCTGCACTCTGTGGCTTAGCACATGCTGTTCCTTCTGTGCTCTCTTCTTGGCCAACTCTTATCCATACTTTATCAAGAGCCTGCCAAGGGCCAACACCCAGAGCTGATCTAAGCCCTATTCTGGTCACATTTTATTTTATTTTATTTTTTTAATAAAAATCATTTTATTGGGGGCTCTTACAAATTCCATACATCAATTGTATCAAGCATATGTTGCTATCATCATTTCCAAAATATTTTCTACTTGAGCCCTTGGTATAAGCACCTCTTTCCCCCCACCCCCACCCTAGTGAATCCTTGATCAATTATTTCATATCTTAAAAAATTTTTTAATCGTTTTATTGGGCTCATACAACTCTTATCACAATCCATACCTACATCAATTGTGTAAAGCACATTTGTACATTCATTGCCCTCGTCATTCTCAAAACATTTGCTCTCCACTTAAGCCCCCGGCATCAGGTCCTCATTTTTTCCCCTCCTTCCCTGCTCCCTCATAAGCCCTTGAT